GGTATTTTCTCCTTGCTAATTGATGTAGGAAGGCCCAGCCCACTGGCAGGAAGGCCTGGGCTATATAAAAAAGGTAGCTAAGGAGGCCAGTAAGAAGCAGCAAGCCAGTAAGCAGCCTTCCTCTGAAGTCTCTGCTTCAGTTCCTACCATGACTTCCCTTGATGATGGATTGTGAGTTATAAGCCAAATAAACACTTCTTCCTCAAGTTGGTTTTGGTCAGAATTTTATGACAACAACAAAAAGCAAACTAGGACAGAGTGCATACTGCTGTTGTAGAGAACTTGAGTTCAGTTCCCAGCACTGACAACAGGAGGCTTATATCAACCTGTAACTCTAACTCCAGAGGCCTCTGGCCTCTTCAGGCACCTGTACTCACATCCACATATCCACCCACACACGTACACAAAATTAAAAATAAATAAATAAATAAAACTGGGTGTAATAGCACAGGCCTTTAATCCCAGCACACCAGAGGTAGAAATAGGCACATCTCTGTGAGTTTGAAGCCAGCCTGGTATATGTAGTGAGTTCCAGGCCAGCCAGGGATACATAGTGAGACCCTATCTGAAAAACAATAACAAATAAATTACATATATATGTGTGTGTGTGCATGTACATATATATAACATACATATATATGTACACACGCGCACACACACACACCCCTACAAAGAGTGCTTGCTGCACAATCCTACAATCCTAAGGACCAGAATTGAGATCCCAGCACCCACATAATAAGCCAGGTGTCCCCACAAACACCTGTTATCCCAGTTTCAAGATGGACCAAGACAAGAGGATTGCTGGGACTTGCCAACTTCTAGCCTAGCCAGGTAAACATGAGCCCCAGCTTCAGGAAAAGACCCTGCCTCCGAGGAGTAGGTGGAGAGTGATAGGAGTCCCACACCTCTTCTGGCTTCCAAACATGTGCACACACCTGCAAATTCATACGAATACACACACATGCACACAGATTTTAAAAAAATAAAAGAAAGGAGGCTGGGTAGCTGGGGATGTACAGTTCAGTAGTAGAGCCCTTACCCAAAATGTGCAAGACCCTGGTTCAATTCCCAGTAACAAGAAATAATGAAAGTAGAGACTGTATAATCTTGGCTCCCTTCCACTTCTATGCATATTCACTCTTTAACAATCTAAAGAGTATTTATTCAACAATCACAAGACCACATGCTCCTTATGTGCAGGAATTGCCTTGGGTACAGTGGGATAATCAAAGATAACAACCAAGAGCCTCCAAGTACTGAAAAAGAAACCAACATATGCTTGAACAGTTACTAGAAAGTGTCAAATCCTCGAGAGAGATTACTCCAGCTTGGAGAGCTGGGAGCATTTCCATGTTCAGGAGATGGGAAAGAATGACAGATGAATGAAGAATTTCCCAGGCCATGGTACATCCTGGAGGGAGCCACTGACATGTCTCATCGTTGTAATCATCCACTGCCAATCCTTTGTTCAGGTCTGAAAATGTGGGTCAGTCTCAATAAAGCTGGTTTATTGTGATAAATCTAGAAGGCAGAAAGCAACTCCACTAATGTGTTTGCCAGAATTTGACATCCCAGGAGAGTTTCAATTTGCTGTCATGGCAGTTATCACTTTTGCATGAATATGAATGACCTGCATTATGGAAAAAAAATATGGTATACTGGGTTTCCCGAAAGGTTGGCTTCTTTTTATCTGGATACCACTATCTTATGCTTATGATTACAAAGAAAGATAACTTAAGAGAGTAAAGCCATCTGCAGAGATAAAGAGCAAAGCCAAGGGAAGTGTGGGCAGAGGGTGAAGGGATGGCACTGGAATTTGTCCTCATGGCCCATGACTGCAAATGGCTGAAACAGCAAGCAGGCCTTGTGGACAGTGATGTGGGATCTGTCCAGCTGTGGGAAGCTGTGAACAAGTTGGGGGAAGCAGACCACCTTGATTTTTAGATGTCATTCACAAAAGTGTTTTTCTTAAACCTCCTTTGCCAACAGCTAGTAGAAGTTTCTAGATTATCCTGTGGAGTGTAACTGTCTTATTCCAGAATCTTCTCTACTAGCTCTGCTTATTTTACACAAATGCAGCCATGAGCAACCAGTGTCTTTAAGCCCGACCCTCCTTCCACACTGCCATGATGCCTGCCTCAGGCCCCCACAATGGGGACTGTGAAACTGGGGAGTGGAAAATTCAACCCAAGAAAGATCATTTTTACATGTGACATAGGTTAAATTGTGTTTCTTGTGGCAACTCCAACATTACTGGAGATGGGAGATGCGGACAGTCTTCTGCCCACCAGCACTGAAGAGCCAAGGGTCTGTCTTCCTGTGAAGTCCTTCCTGAATTTTTTTGGTGAAGATTCCCAAACCTTTGCTTTGTTTGTTTGCTTGATGATGATGATGATGATGATGATACTGGGTAATAAGAGGCCATTTTCAAGCAAATATATAATGTACTTTGAGCATATCACACCCCTCTACCACACTACCCTTTCAAAACTAGCTTTTCTAAAACACAGTGTATGTGATAGGCATATGAAATATTACAGAAAGATTTTCTTACATTATCTCCCTCCCATTTTTTTGAGGACATGTCAGCCATCCCATGCTGGGTGTTCTATTGCTATTAATTCCAGTCCTTAAATTAAACCTGCAAAGAAGAGATTTGTACCAATTTCATGGAAAATAAAAGTCATATAGTCTGTCCCTCAGCTAACAAAAGTCAACATATGAACCCAGAGCTCTGACGGCAATTCTTTGTTCTAGGAGAGTCATTTAGTTTCACACAGTACCCACGTGCTGTGCTGTAACAGTGGCTAGGGGTATGTGTACGTTTGCCCAGGACACTACAGAAAATGCCAGTTTATGCATTCTATTTTAACACTACCTTTGACTCTGAAAAGGCCTTACATTACGAGGTCCTTGCCTGTCCTGCTTAGGGCTGGAGGCCATGTGGTTTCCAGCATCCCCCCCTCAGGGTCTGGTCCCTTTTGATCCAGTGGAGTTTCAAAGTTTTATCTTCTGCTGGACTTCATTAAGGAGGCTCCCCACCTCCTCCCCCCAGTTGTAAATGCTGCATGGCTCTTGGTATTCAGGTTAACAAATTAGCTCAATTAGATGGGTAAATTTTTCATTCTTATTTTCTGAAGTCCCACTGGAAGAGCTTTGTGAAATAGCATTTATAGTTTTCTAACAAGCAATTTAAAGGACACCAGCATTTGGCATTTGTTTAAGAGTAAAATGTCTTAAGCAATGCCCTACTTAGAAACAGTATTAGAGACTGGCTCAGCCACAGACTGGGAGAGCTGGGACCAAGTGGCACCCCAGTGTTGTCTGGTGGGAGCATTTCCCAGACTTTTTTCTTTCTTTTGGTGTGCATGGGAGGGGGTCTTATAGTCATGAATAGCAGGGTTGACTGAATCCCACATTCAATTCCAAAGCTTATTTTTGCCAAATGCTTTGTCTGTAGCCTGCCCCACCCCACCCTCTCCAAGAGTTTCTAGCAGGCTTCAAACAGGAAACAGACTGAATTCTATAGAGTGGTAAATGGTGAAGAACCAGCAACTTGGAGAAAGTGGAGAGGGACTCTTGGAGGAGGCTGGTGAACTGTTGGCATCAGGGACAGAGAGGCAACCTAGGAAACAGTGACATCCCTCCATAGCTAGAAGAGAATGTGTAAGTGTTTTAACCTGGCCAGGGCTGTTTCCTCATGTGTATAATGGACAGTAATCCCCATCTCATAGGGTTACTGCAGGATTAAATGAGATAATGTACAGAGCGTGCCTGAAGCATAATAGGAACTCAGTAAATTGGAAGGCCCTTCCTTCCTGGAGCCTCTCAACTTTCAGCCTCAGATACTGGCATCCTTGGTTCCTGGCTCAACTGCTATTAAAATGAAACCCAGTAAAAGTGCCAATATTTGGTGTTGAAATAATTGATGTTGCAGAGTGAGCCCATGAAGCACCCAGGCAGGCCCCTGGTGCAATTTAGCCTCACACCTGGGGGATGGATTTCACAACTGTAATTGCTACCATATAATTCTTATTAATGTTGTGCTATAATTCCTATTTATTCCACGGGGCTTGTAAATGCATTAGAACTTGTCAACATATTATTTTACACTGTTTATGATCTGTAGAATTATGTCCTTCAGGGTTGTATTGTGCAAAAGTGCAAATAAATGACTTTGGGACTCATTAAAAAGGAGTAAAACAGGGCCACTGTTTAAGTGGTTCTCTCTCCCTGCTGTCCTGAAGTCAGGAAAGTCGATTCTTAATGCAATTCTTAGCAGAGCAATTGGTCTTTAGGAATATGAGGATTCATCTTCCAGTCTGATTGTGTGGTGCAACAGTCAGGCATGCTGGGAAGTCAGGCCCCCTGGGAGATGCATGCCACTGAAAGGCTGATGGGGGTGGCAGGGAAGAGCTTTCTCTTCTAGACACCAGACCTGCATTCTGCTACTGTGTACAACCTCAGAGTGCTTGGCATTTCTGTCCCCCTTGCTCCCTGGTTTGGGGTATTCAGTTCCAAGATACCCTCCATAAACTTTACAGCTCACACTGTAAAGCTAAAAATCCACAATGTATTCCCTCTTCAGTGCAAATACCTAAAAGTAAGAAGTGCAATTCCCTCCCAGAGCTGTTTGCATTTTCTAGATAGCATAAAACTAAGGGAACAGAATTCTGTTCACTGACATATTCAGCCCTAGCTCATATGTATGTTGAAAGGAGTCTGTGTCCTTAGTTGTGCTTGGGCCCTTAGAACCTTCCTGGTACCTTTGCTACAAGCCATCCTGTCATAGAACAAAATCCCTGCTCTGTCAGTTCCTAGCCTTGGATTGTTGAGAAGCCCGGTCTCTTCTCCCTTGCAGCCCCTCTGGGTCTGGAGTGCCTTTGCCATGATCAGTCATGGCTGCCTTGCCAGTGCTGGTCCTCCTGTCCTAGAGTAGCTGGGGCAAACTTGTGGGAGGTGACAGCTCCTGACAGTCAGTGCATTTCTCTTCTCCACAGGCAGCGAGTATGACGAGGAGGAGGTAGACTATGAGGAGTCAGACAGCGACGAGTCCTGGACCACAGAGAGTGCCATCAGCTCGGAAGCCATCCTCAGCTCCATGTGCATGAATGGAGGGGAAGAAAAGCCTTTTGCCTGCCCAGTTCCCGGATGTAAAAAGAGATACAAGGTAGTGGTCTTTGCTTGGTGTCACTGTCTAGAAAGGGACACTTGTAAGATAACTGCCTCTTCTTAATTCTAAAGAGTACATGGGCCTCCTCTTCTATGCCTTGTGTGGGCACAAGGGCATAGAATACAATGCCTCGTACCCTAGGGTGAATGTTGGCTGGGGTTCTCAGTGTTAGTAGGGTTTTCTCCTTCTTTGACCTGTGTGGGAGATGAAGGTCAAAGACAGAGAGACTATTCCTTTGAAATTCTTAAAAATCTGTATCATATTAAAGAGTTTGTCAGAATATCCAGGCAGGAGCTGGAGGTGGAGTATGCATGAGGTCCTGGGTTCCTTCCTCAGCACCACAGAAATGGCACCAACTGTGTCACCTATTTGTCACACACTTTTGGCAAGGGATAGGTCTCCAGGTGGCTCACAGAATACTCTGAGGTCATAAAAGCCCCAGGTGGTTCTCAGAGCCTTCTGGAAAACATGTTGGGGTGTTTACCTAACAGCCGAGGCACTTCTTGCTCCACTTCCCAAACCTCCCCCATAAAAGATCAGGGGAAGAAAAGGCTTTTTTTCCCCTCACCAAACCACTAACTTTAGTTTCAACTGTCCAGTCTCAAAAAGCCCCAGGCCAGGTGACCTAGATGGCTGGGGCCACTAAGTTTTCTATTGAGAAAACTCTAGGGACAAAACAGTAAAACAAAAACTAGGAGAAATCCCTACAGCAACTTCCCCACAGGTTATCAGCAGCTCTTTAAAATTCAACTGAGACAAAAAAATCAAAACCACAAGCATCCTGGCAGACTTGAAGGCAGACTAACTTACCCAAGCTGCACACTGACTTTTCAAAAGGCTCGAAAACTGTGATAGCACAAGGCTTCTCGAAGTGCTGCTGCTTAAAGATGTCTCTGAATACTAAAAGACCATTTCTGGTAGTACTTTTAATTTCTGCTGTTAAAAAAGCAGAAAGCAGGGGACTGGAGAGATGGCTCAGTGGTGAAGAGCACTGACTGCCCTTGCAGAGGACCCAGGTTCGATTCCCAGCACCCACATGGCAGCTACGAACCGTCCTTAACTCCAGTTCCAGGGGAATCCGAAGCCCTCTTCTGACGTCCACGGCGTTGCACAACATGGGTGCACTCACATACATGCAGGCAATATACTCATACACATAAAATAATAAATAATAAAATGTTAAAAAAAAAAAAAAAACCAGAAAGCATGGCTCTATCACAAAGGTAGCCACCCAAGGTTTCACCAGCTCTGTGAAAGGTTGAGATTGTCTCAGGCAACGCCCAGGTGGTCTTCATTTAAACTGAAATGCAAACCCCAGGACAGAGATGTGAGTCCTGTCAGATTCCTGAAGGGCTACTGAGCCCAGGGCAGGTCACATCACAGAACAGATGCACGGCTCCAGTGTCCGGAAGCTGGGAGGTGGCAAAGGAGCAAAGGAGCCACGAACAGTTGCGTCACAATGCAAATGCCAAGGGTGCAGATCAGGGCATTGCAGAGGGCAGCTGTGCATCGCAGAGGTTTTCCCTCCTTTTTTCTATTTCACAGTAGGAGCAGCTAGACAGAGAACTGACTGTCTGCTGCCTGCCTGGATGTCTGTTCTCTCCCCCTAAGCTGTTCCTCCTCCTTGAGCCACCACCAGTGCCTGAACACTGTTGAAGCAATGTCTTGCACACCACTGTTAAAAGAGGGAGCAAGTAATGGCCTGTGCTGAGGCAGACCACAGAAAAGGGAGGGCAAGAAACAGAAGCTCCACCCTGTTCCGCTCAGAAGCGCCGGGCGCTCTCTTGCCCTTCCCTCTGCTTCATTCTGCTTGTTCCCGTCTTTTCCGTAGTCATTTCTACTACCTTTTAATCTACTGATTTCTTTTTTTCAGGTTTCCAGCAATTTCCTCCTTTAGTTAGCTAAGCCTAGGTTGCAGGGGTTTGAATGTTCTCTCCTTTTAAGGCCAAGAGAAAATCTAGTAAACGTCAGCTGTAGAAGGCTGTCGGCTTTGGGCATCATTGACTGGCAGATGACATGGGTGAGAAAAGTCTAAAAGCTTCCTTTTCTGAGTCAGAATGCCAAGTAATGATACACCAGACAAGGAGAGACACCTGTCACTCCTCCCCAGCTGCTGAAGCTTCAGCTGGGCTGGAGTTACTGGTGTGGAGCTGCAGTGCTGTTCTGAGGAAGTGCTGACTCATCTTTACTGGGTGATCCTTGGCTCTGATACAGGTGTGAAGAGTGCGGGAGATTGCTGGTGTGCTCTGGAGTCTGGCAGAATCCAGAAGGCCACCATCTTGTTTATTCCCAGGACTAGTCTGATTTAATTTCCTGTCCTGTTTACTGGGGAGTCTCTGAAGAGTTCGTCTCTTGGACACAGGTTCAGGAGTAGCTCATCACTTCACTGACATTTACACAGCTGAAGAAGTTCCTGGACTTAATGCTGGCAGTAGGAAGTAGGAGATGGACCCAGTAGGAGGGCTGGGTCTCTACATTTTTCTTTAGCCTAGGATGTCCCCTTTGGAACTTTGTTGGGAAAGAAAAATGCCCCCCATCCCACGTACCTTAAAACAGCCCGTACTCCCAGCACTATGGGAGGCAAAGACAGGAGGATTGCTGGGGCTTGTTGGCTGCCATCTTAGCCTCAGGTTCCGTGAGAGACCTTGACTCAAGGAAATAAGGCAGCGTGTAACAGCAGGATACCCACAGTCCTCCTCTGGCTCCCACGTGCATATGGGCAAACAGCTGTGTACGTACACCCCACACAGCACTGATCTGTGTCCCTAACATTTGTGGTAAGGCCATCCCACCAATACTGGTGAGCATAACAGAAACAATACTACAGGTTCTTCGGCACCCAGGGAAATAACATGTTTTCAATGTCCAAATGACTTCCTTTTCCCCTGAATAAAGTTGCTGTATGGGGTAGTATTGTTTTTGTCACAATCAGACAGAGAACAGTATTTCACATACATCCAGGACAAGGCCACTGAGCTTGCTGGACTCAGGACTCTAGCTTGTCCCACTCCTGGTGAACTCCGGGTCTGGTTCCTGGACTGCATTTAAATGCCTGGCTTCCAAGCTTCCCTGGCCTTAGAAATAAGAACTGGATGGAGTTATCTAAGCTGCGATGTGGTCGCAGCCCTTTTGCATCTTAGCTAATGCATTTTGGCTTATCTAGACAAGGTTTGAATGGTAGTGGGCAAAGAGATAGCTGGATCCTTATTAACCCATCTTGCAACAGGTCTGCAACAACAGGACATAATGTCCTGTAACCCTTCACCCACAGAAAAGGACTCATTGTGTTCAATGAATATCCACTAAGCTGATAAGTAGATATTTCCAAGCACACAGAGATATTTCTCGCATTTGTGAGTCAGGGAACAACTTTCTATACTTAATTTGGGAGTCTCTAATTATAATTTTAGGTTTTTGGCAGTGCTAGAGGACTGCACCCAGGGTTTCATACATGCTAGGCAAGTGTTCTACCTCTGAGCTGTACCCCCAATCCTGGGAGTCTAATAGTCATTATCTCCCTTTCTCCCCAATATATCACCCACAGGTTACAGAGATCTTTCAAGGTTCTCTGAGTTGACTGGTCAAGCCAGGCAGTTGTCACATGGATGTAGTTGCTATAAGACACCAGCTGAGGCCAAAGTTATCTGAAGGTTCAGCTGGCCTGGATATACAAGTTGGTATGTCATCACCCATGTGCCTACACCTCAGCCAAGATGGCTGGAATAGTGAGAGGTCTGGCAGAGCCTATCTACCTACCACCTTAGTGGGTCTATGTGATCCTGCCCCTCAAAGCTCTGATCCCTCAACATGCCTTTTAGAAAGCTAAGAGGTCACCCCTTGCTGTGGGAAAGGACCAATGCACAGAAGGAGCAGAAGCCCCCAGTGCCAGGCATTCAGAACAGTTTATCCAGTTCTGCTTTGCTCACTGGCCAAATCCATGATTAAGCATAGTCATGGTGGCTGCTTGGGCACTAGGCTTATAGTCAAGCAGGGTTCTCCACTGTAGGGCATGTCCTGCAAATTTAAAGGGAAAACCTCCTTAGCATTTAATATTTTTTACTTTTATGTATGTGTATTGCCTGCATGTATATAAATGCACCCATGGCATGTAATGCCTGCAGAGGTCAGAAGAGGGCATCAGATTCCCTGGAACTGGAGTTACAGACGGTCCTTAGGCACCATGTGGGTGCTGGGAATCAAACCCAAGTCCTCTGCAGGAGCAGCCAGTGCTCTTAACTGCTAGGCCATCTCTCCAAACCTGTCCTCATTTTATTTTTTGGGTCTTTCTGAGACAGGGTCTCCCTGTAGCCCCAGTTGGCCTGGAACTCATTATGCAGACTAGGCTGGCCTTGAACTGAGAGATAACCTGCCTCTGCTTCCTGAGTACTGGGATTAAAGATGTGCACCACCATGTCCGGCCCCATCCTTATTTTCAATAGCAAGTCTCCCCAGCTTCTTCCCAAATAATGAAGTGTGTGGAGAGATACTACTTTAACAAATTCACTCCCACTATATATGCACTGTAACCGGGCATCGTGCTACTTACTGAGCAATGGCAGAAATATGTATTGTCATCTGTGAACTCATAAAGGCATCTTATGAAAATGGAAGACTGGACCCAGTAAGGTGGTATGTTAGGAACAGCTTAGCCTTTTAGTAACCTGTGCTCAACACCACCAAGTCACAAGTTGTTCCTTCTCTTCCCCTATTCTCTAATCTGGCAATTAGTGACTTGGAAATTAAGACATGTTCAAATATCACCTCTGCTGTTTAGTTCTCAAATCACCATGAGCCTGTTTCCAATGTTTTAACTGGATGAGCAATATTTACTGTTTAGTTTATTAAACTGATTAGGAATCGACTCACTACCAGAAAACATTTTGATAAAATATTAACATCCAGATTCTTAACATCCCTTGCTAAGAAATCCAATCATATTTTGTTAGTCTTAGGACAAATACATAAAATAACTAAAGTTTCCAAAATACATTTGTTTTCAGTACAGTACCTCATTAAAGTCAGGGCCTAGTCTGCCCATGGCTCTTAACACAACTATGCTGAATTAGGGCAAAATTTGGGCAAAAAGTTGTTTCCATGGTAGCATCAGAGAATGGACAAGAGACTCCAAACAAGGTGTGGTGGACAACTATTCCACAGTGGTCTGGAAGCCGCATGCCAGGCACTCAGTTTCCAAATCAGAAACTTACAGAAGTCTTAACTCTGAGACCTGCCATTTTTTTCTTTAGAAAGATATTTTGTTAGCCATTTCGAGCAGATACTTAAAGGATTACCCATTAACTCTCTTCTAGAAAAATTAATTGTTCTGGAGAAGTAAAACTTTAAGCTAAAGAAACTCTGGCTACTTTCTTGTGCAGTCTGTGAGCCCAAAATATATTACATAAAACTTGAAGAAACCTGTACTTTGATTTTCAGAGTAACTCAGACATATCTGCATTTCCTTTATGTATGACCTGGTGTATACAGTCCAGGACCAACAAACCAGCCTGTCCTGAAGGGCTTATGATTGAAGCTCATGAATGAAGCCCACCCTCTCTACAGAGATGCCATTCAGAAGTCTTTCTGGGATCCGGGCCCATGCTGAGGTTTGTCCAAGTGTGACAGGACATTCTGTGACTCAGGCTAATAGGTAAATTTTTTTTTTTTTTTTTTTTGTCTTCTCCACAGAATGTGAATGGCATAAAGTACCACGCTAAGAATGGTCATCGAACACAGATTCGCGTCCGCAAACCATTTAAATGTCGGTGTGGGAAGAGTTACAAGACAGCTCAGGGCCTGCGGCACCACACAATCAATTTCCACCCCCCGGTGTCGGCTGAGATTATCAGGAAGATGCAGCAATAACATGCTGGTCATAACTGTGCCAAGAAATTCTCACCAGCAGTTGCTGATTTTGAAAACAGCCACCTTTTTTCAGGGGAAGCATTCAGCAACCCTTTAATGAAAAGAATTAAATGCATGCTTTAAATTTTTCTGTAATTTTGGAATGATGTATCTTTGTAGAGTTAATGATTTTGTACATTTGCACATGTAATCATCATACCCATTTTCATTACTTTGATATAAGGTGCTAAACAAAAAAAGCTCTAGGTTCTTCAGCACATTTCCCCCAACACAAAATAAAACTGAGGGCCTGTTACATATTGTTCAGTTGTACTGCAGTGGTATCAACTGGGGGAGGAGGGCTGGTATTGACATGTTTTTCAAGATTGTAATGTGATTGAAGTTCTTCAACACATCAACTCACATATAACCAAAATACCTTCATGAGCAAACTGGTTACCATGCCTTACATAATGGAGTTAGTATTTGTGAGTAGAAAGACTTTAGGTAATGGAAATATAAATAAGAATAAGAAAGAATGTTTAACATAATATGCTAAAAATATTTTCATATTTAAATAACATGCATAAAAGGTGTGCTTTTGTGTTTTCTATTATCTTGCAAATCCTTTGCCCTTTAAAAAGATGAAACTCTAACACACAGTCATTGAGTGCCTGCTGGGTGCAAGAGATTCAATTTATACCTAGTGTTACTTGTGGACAAAGATACCAGTTTAGTGAAGTACTTTCCCCTGAAATCTGTTAGGAAACACTTTGAAATACTTAAATGCAAATTTTGCGTGTGTGAAATTTAGTTATAGCTTCATCATCAGATGAGGTGTTAAAGCACTTTGTAGTTCTCTATTGCCAACAATTTAATGTTTATATGTTGCCAGTTCTTGCAACTACGGCCCTAACAGATCTGTGGGTTGCAAATCGGAAACAAAATTCTAAGCATGCTTGAAAAAGGAACATTTCTATTAAGACCCCTATGGCCCCTTCTTCGTGCTCATTGTGCTTGGACTTCTTTTGAAGAAATTTCCATCACACTGTAGATGTCTGCAACCTCATTAGAAATGTCTGTTTAGCTTTAGAAAACATTTTGCCAGAAAATGAAAATAAGCCTTACTGACAATTAAGTGCTTCTTGCAGCAGGTGGTCAAAGCATAGACTAATCCGACCACTGAGAATGACCTACATCTGGACCATTCCTTAAGTTTTTCTCACCGACAGAACCATCATGCCTTGAGTATTCTTTTCTCCCAAGTGCTATTCCTTAAGAGTTTACCAGTTGCCTAATACACAACAAAAATTGCTTTGATACAGCTAACTGCCCACAGTACAAACTGGTGAAATGTGAACTCAAATTCCCTCCAAAATAACTTTCACCCCACATTCCTATTTGATGAAAAAAGTGACTGGGGAACAGGGGTACCTCAATTTTCCATATTATAAAGACAGTTCTCAATTCTGTTAACAGATAGTTAAGTTTCTCTATTCCTAAATTGGGACTCTCTCACAGTGAGGAATTTAAAAGTATAAAGACAATGTCCACTAAAAATTTCCTCAGCGCTCCTGAAGAATAGTCTTTGTCTTTAAGCCCATGTGTTGTTATAGGGTGATCTGGACATGAGAATCCACTAGTTGGTGCATAAGAAGGCCCTACTTGACTATTCCATATTTACCTACAGTTGACCAAAAAAAAAAAAACTAAAAAAAAAAAAAGAAAAAAAAAAAAAAAAAAAAAAAAAAAGTTTCAGGCCAGCAATTATTAGTTAGCTTTGCTCTTTTTAGTGCAAGAAACTGCAGGCTGGATCAGTAGTTCAACAGCTAAACATCATAAAAATAGTCATTGTGCATGTTAAATTTCTTTCAATGATAAAACAAAGTCTGATTTCTATTTACTTATTCATTGTGACAGTATTATTAAACAGGTAAGGATGGGAATATTTTGTTATACCGTGTATAGTGAATGTATTGTACCGTGTCTGTGAAAACTGTGCTTTAAATTATATTTTCGTATGTTTTGTTGGGGACAGAGCACATTAAGTTTGAAAGCAACAGAAGTTTTAGAACTGAAGGCAATTTAATCAAAATTCCTGTCAAAAAAAGCTGCTTAATAAATGTAAATAAAATCACATTTAAAATAAACTGCCTCTGACCCAAAATAAATATGGCTCTTTATTTTAATTTGCATCCATTACAAAAACCAGTATCAAGTTTACTGTGGGAACTAATCCACCTGTTCAGTGCCTTGTTCTCTTAGGCTCCCAATTATTTTAGAGAATCTAGAGGATGCATAAAGATTTTATTCCCTTAATGTTTTGCTTACTGTTGTATAAATAATAAATTACTTATCATAAGCTTGGAGCTAAACACTTTTAAAACATAAAGTTCAATGTTAGCAAGATGAATAATCTCACTTCACTAATAGCAGTGTTATAATAGTCAAAGAGTACTTTTAGGTTAGCATGGGTCATACTAATTAACTGCAACAGAAACATCCATAGTGTTGAGATACATGTACACATATCTGTGTGGAAGCCAGAAGTCAATGTCAAGTGTCATTCCTCAATCACTCTCCACCTCATTTTTGAGACAAGGTCTCTCACTGAACCTGTAGCTTACAGATCCAGTTAAGACTGGCTGATCAGCAAGCTCCAGGGATTCTCCTTTACTGCTTGCTTCCCTAGTACAGGGCATATGCCATGAACATTTTTACATGGGTGCTGGGAATCTGAATGCAACAAAGCAAGCGCTTTACCAAGTCATCTCCCCAGCCCCTTGCTGAGGATATTTTACCTAAGTATATTCAGTGATAAAATTTATAGGAAGCTAGGCTGGGCATGGTGGTGCACACCTTTATTCCCAGCACTCAAGAGGCAGAGGCAGGTGGATCTCTGTGAGTTCCAGGCCAGCCTGGTCTACATAGTGAGTTCCAGGACAGCTGGGGCTACAGGGAGACCCTGTCTCAAAAAGACAAAAAAAATAAAAAATAAAAAAACACTTATAGGAAGCTAAAACGAGTGTCCAGTGCTGTTACTGCTTCCCAGGACCACCTAATAGCTGCCATCTGAATGCCTCATATTATGCCCTCAAAACCTTTTTAAAAGGATTCAATTACACAAATTCTGTTCCTACAAATACCAGCAACCTGGTATGTTCACAGTTCATGTACAGCACTCCAGAACCCAGAATGCCACTAAGTCTGAATGTTCAGTTAACAAGTTAAATAGGTTAACTACTAAAGCAACAAATCGAAAGTACTTTAAATTCGTAACATTCACACTATAAAAAGAGAAATATAGTTCAGAAATTTAAGGCCCAAAACCCCAACATGCTAGAGTAATGAAAAATGAATGCAAATTTGTCAATGTTATTACAGTTCTCTAAATATGTATCTTCTTTAATGTTATTGAACACTGCACAGCAGATACAACTAAAGAAACCAATTAGTTTGAGTTTATGAATTCTATTTTTAATCACTGACTGAGGAATGTTTTCACTTTATACTCTCATCAAGACAATGTAATATAGATACTGATACATATTCTGTCATCTTATGCCACAAACACCACTTACAAGGTCATTTAATGAGAGCAGATAACAGATGATTTTAGTTCATTTTCTCATAATTTATAAATATAAATTCAATATAGTTTAAAAATAATCATCCAGATTACGCTAAAATCTTTCATAAAATTAACAAAATATGCCTTGCACTACTTCCCAAAGCCAACACCTCACATATGAAAGAATGTCTTCAAGCATGTGATCTCATTCTATGTGTAGCTTCTCTGAGATTTAAAAAACTATCATTTCATGCATTCATTTATGGCTTTTCTATATCCAAAGAATCACTTCGCAAAACTGTTATGATCAATGCGTTTTATTACATAATATTTAGTAATCATGCTCAATCAACAAAGTCAACAGAAACTTGTAAACATTCTACTAGGTAATCTAGAACACTATTACAGATAGATTTTTTTTCAGTTTAGTAACATTAAAATAATTCTGTGTCTTTTTTCATTTTTCTAACTGGGGAATAAATAAAGATATAAACATATAAGAGCTTTTCTTAAATCAAGTAAGATTAACAAAATTAAAACTGTATTTATTGATAAGTCAAAGATGGACCCTGGCCCTAATAATACCAAACTCAAAGAAGCTCTTGATCAGAAAAGTGCAGAAAAGGGTGCATGAAAGTGATACTTTGTAGTCTTCCTTATCCTTAGTGGTCTATTTGAGGTGATTTCTTTAAACTTCTAAATTGTACTAACTCATAATAAAAGCTAGTCAAAGTTTAGAACATTCTGATCAAAATGGGTCTGAACATGCCTTTCAAACCCCTGCTGATTGTAGTCAGGAGGAAACTGCTCACTGCACATTGGGCACACCTTCCAGTGGCTTTCAACATGTTCCTCAAATTTGCTCTGATCATAGTTGGGAGGGAACATTAATTCACACAGGGGACACTTCTTGTGAACATCAAAGCTTTAAAAGAAAATAGGAAAATGAAAGAATTACATATTTCTAGTAAATTTGTAATAACAATTGTCAGTATAAGGTTATATTAATCCTAGTTGGCTGAAATTCATAGCAACTTGCCTTCAAAGTTGTTAGAATGTTTAGTTAACCTTTTTGGTTTCTGCTTCTAAATTCCCGATACTGTATACAGTAGCTGTGTTTTTATCAAGCTACTAAACCCAGTTTTACAATTGGATTGACAGCTCCACAGTTTTTGTTACAAATCTGCCAAAATCGGACATTAAATAAGGCTTAGTAACCAAAAGTTTTCCCACTTTTTAACTAAAAGAAAATGCTTTTGTAAAACTCTAAGAATGAATACAATGCACAATTTTCCAACAATGTCTATTTGGTTTAATAGTTAAAGAGTTTTGGGAGCCAGAGAGATGGCTTAGCAGTTAAGAACGAGTCCTGCTCTGGCAGAAGATCAAGTTCAGTTCCCAGTACCTATTGGGGTGGCTCATAACCACCTATAATTCCAACTCCAGGGGAGCTGATGCCCTCTTTTGGATTTTGCAGGCACCTGCACTCACTTGCACAACTCCTCCCACCCACCCACACATAATTAAAAATAAAACTTAAAGGCCTTTATGCCACTGGTTTTTCAAAGGATTACATGTGTCAGAATCATCCAGGGCAAAGTCTGACTAGCTGGGCCCTTCACCTTGAGTTTAATTTCTGTAAGCCAGGAACCACATTTTCAGAACCAATAGCCTTACATAAGCCCATGGTAGTTCTACAAAGGAAAAAAACTTACCTGGAATCAAAGCAAAAGCCTGCTCCATGACCACGTAAATGCTGATTTGCTGGATCAGAGGCAATGGGCACATTCTCATCTTCCTGGCCAAAAACAAAAAGAGAGCAACTTTTTAAGAAAAGTAAAATGAACTACAAATTCTTTAATTCAAATAATCACATACTGACACTAAAAAAGGAAAATCACCCAATTAAAGTTTTGCCTTTACTATTACTTGACTTTCACATAAAAACATGTTTGAAAAGTTTTTTTTTCAATACAGTATTCCTCCCTCATTACAGGGCATATGTTCCAAGGTCCACAGTGGATGCCTGAAACTAAGGGTCATAGTCAACTGTTTTAAAAAGTTTTTTATACATGCCTATGACAAAGTTTAATTTACAGATAAGGCATGGTAGGAGGTTAATAACAAAATTAAGTAAAACAAAATAACATACTGTGACAAAAATTAAGTGAATCTGATCTCTATTCATAAAATATTACATTTCACCTTTGGAAGAAAGCACTTTATGGGTATTTCTTTGGCATATCCAAGTTGCCAGCACCACTTCTTAGTGCTTTGGGCTCATTATGAAGTAAAATAGGATTACTTGAACACAAACATTAATCTGAAAATAGAGATTTCTATATACAGGGTGGATACACTGGACAAAGAGGTGGCTCATATCTTGTATGAATTTTAGCACACTACTCTGAACTAAATGCAACTTAAAATTGAAAAATTGTTTCCAGACCACAGGGGACTGCATTTAACTGAAATCACAGAAAGCAAAACCGTTGATGAGGAATGCTACTATTAAAAGTAGGATTCAGTAGAGACATACCATGCCTATTAGTGTGAATGAAGCTGAGACCAGTAGAACTTTCCAAGCCTCTCCAAGCAAGCAATCGTACTGACCTTTCATCATTCTAATAGACAGGAGGACCACTTTCACAAACAACTTCAGTCTGCCTTTCTGTTCTATTATTCTCATTTAATAATTGTTCATTTTCAAGGATCTGGTAAGATGCTAACACACTGTACAAAATACGGAAAGCATAAATACAAGGAAACTAATATGTGAGTTTGTCTGTCTATATATTCTTGAGTACACATATTGGCAAAAGGCCAACTGGAAACCCATTAAACAGAGCAATGCATAAAACTACAAGCCACACAATTTTAATGGTTTTAATTGCAAAGTAAACAATAATTTGGATTCCCATGATTGCATCCTAGTAGTTTGAGAAAACTATTTAAGCAACATCAACAGCCAAACACGGAATCTCATTGGAAGCAGTCACCTTCTTTATTCTTCTTAACAGCTATTAACTGTTCTTGTGTTGTGACCTAATACCACTTAACCAGGCACCAGTATGCTCTGATGAATATATCCTTTGTTACTGGATAGTCAAGCTTGCCCCAAAGAGCTGCTATGAATGAACTAAACAAGCATGCTCAAAAAGCACAGTTGGTAAAAAAAAAAATACAGTATGAATTTCAAAAACCAAACTGAGTTCATGGGGGGAGGAGGGAGAGAACCACCCACCTATTATCTGGGAATGTTCCCTTCTTGAAGTTAAGAGGAGTGAGACTTTCCATGCTTATTACATGAAGAAATGTAGGGAGGAAGGGAGGGAGGGAGGGAGAGATTGAGATTTCCACAAACTGTAATTGTGCAAAAAAGAAAACAGGACTGATATGAGAACCTGAGAAATTGAGGGATATAACACACGTATTTTACAAGCTTAAAAAATTAAATCTTCTGGTAACTATAATCCGGGTAGCTTTAAAAAAATTTTTTTTTTTGGTCTTTTTGAGACAGGGTTTCCCTGTAGCCCCAGCTGGCCTGGAACTCACTATGTAGACCAGGCTGGCCTTGAACTCAGAGATCCGCCTGCCTTTGCCTCCCAAGTGCTGGGACTAAAGGCGTGCGCCACCATGCCCGGCTGCTTTAAAATTTTTATGCACAAACAAGAATTTTGATTCTGTATCAGTTTACTCTAGCCCGCAGGTTTAGGACTTCCAGCAACAATATCTGAAACGAATCTGCTTATTAACTACATAATAGAGATAATGGAATTTCAAAGTTTTTTGATAGTTGAAAAAGAAAATAATTCAAAGTTTTGAAACATTATAGAGGATGGGAAAAATTACAGCATGTTTTGATGTTGTAACTTCTGGAATTCTTTTTTTTTAATTAATTATTTTTATTGTATGAGTGTTTTGCCTGCATGTTAAGTGCGCCACCCCCCCACCCCCGCCCCCATGTCATGCAATGCCCACGAAGGCCAGAAGAGGACATCAGATCCTCTGGAACTAGAGTTAAGGATGGCTGTTAGTCGCCATGTGGATACTGGGAACTAAACCCCCATCTTCTGCAAAAGTAGCCAGTGCTCTTAACCACTGGGCCATCTCATCAGCTCACTTCTAGAATTCTTAATGCCAGATACTTAAATTAGACTACAACTTTCTGAAGGCCAAAAACAACATGGAATCAAATAGCTCATTAACCTACTTTTGCTCATTTTAAAGGAGATAATGGTTTACAACAATTTTGTGAGTGTTCATATTTCAATCAATAGTGCAGTATACTGCAAGTGAGATGCCACACTTAGTTATCAGGCATGTTAACACTGCTTCTTAAACACCTGATTTGGGGGTGGGGGGGGCTTAAAAGCAGTTTATATTTTCTAAGCCACAAATTGGCAATATAATCCTATCATTGTTATTTTTTACTTCATAAAAGGGAAAGACTCATAAGTAGAATTCTATAGCTGGGTACTATAAAATATGCCCATAACCCTAGCACATGGGAGGAAAAAGGATCAGCATAAATACAAGGTCAGCCTGAGCTATGTACCAAGAAATGCATCTCAAAATTACTAAAAAAGAAAAAAAAACATTGAATTCTAGATGCTATAATGAAGAACAGCAACTTCTCATGAAATGAGAAATCACTTATTTAGAAAATAGTTTGAGCCACAAAGGTCTTCGAAGCAGCCAACTGGCAATAAACTTTCTCACACTCTTATTGCACAAAATGTTCAATCAGATCTCCCCTCATGCTTACTGCCATGATGAAGGCATTCTAGGACCACTTTCTGATGAACAGTTCATATGCTGGAGCCTTCTGAAGAGCATTCTTCTCAGAGAGGGCTCCAGTCAAGAACCCTGAGTGTTTTATCTGCCTTTGAGTTGAAATATATGAACTCAGAAAAAGTGTTTCTTTTTATCATATTTATATGGCAGATGGATGTCAAGTAGATTAATACCATAAATACTTTGAGAATGGCCCATTATATTTTAATTTTTATTTTAATTTTATGTACATATATTGCCTGCATGTATCCAAGTGCATGTGTGTCATTCAGTGCCCTCAGAGGACAGAAGAGGGTGTTGGATCCCCTAGAACTAGAGCTACAATGGTTGTTGGCCACCATGTGGGTGCTGGGAACTGAACCCAGGTTCACACCACACTGTAGTGATTCCTCAAAAAGAAAAAAGAAATTGCTATACTATTCAGCAATGTCACTTTGGAGCATACAGCCAACAGAACTGAAAGCAAAGAACTGAAGAGATGCCTACATAGCCATCTTGATAGGTAGCATTATTCCTAATAGCTGAGGATGTGAGAACAAGGCAAAAGTCTATTAATGAATGCATAAATCAACAAAATGTGGTATTATCCACCCCATGGACTATTCAGCCTCGTTAAGGAAGAAAAGCTGGGTGCAGTTACACATGCCTATAATCCCAGCCCTTCAGGAGGCTGAGGCAGGAGAATTTGAATTTAAGTCTGAGCTACACAGCAAGACTCCTCAAAAATTTTTTTTCTTAAGGAAGCCAGTGAGATGATTCAGAGTTGGTAAAGGCACCTGCTGCCAAGCCTGACAAAGTTTGATCCCAAGGACTCATGTGATGGAAGGAGAGAACCAATTCCTCCAAGTTGTCCCCTGACCTCTGTGGCATGCATGGGCTGCGCACACATTCACGCATCCACACTAAATTTTTTAAGAAAGGTAATTCTGACAAATGTTTACACTACAAAAGCTCCTTAAAGCCATTGATACTATGAAATAAGCTAATTTTAAAGACAAAATACTGTTACAGTTTTTTATTTGATCAAAATACCACACAGTTTTGATTCCAGTTACAGAGACCTAGAGTAGGCATTCAAAGAGACCAAGTAGAAGAGTTGCACTGACCACTTCAATTATCAATCCCTTTGTAAGCAGCTACCAAAGATACAGATGGTGCTGCTCACTTGGTAACTGTCCTTAACTCCAATTCCAGGGGAATCCGAAGCCCTCTTCTGACCTCTGCAGCGTTGCACGACATGGATACATTCATATACATGCAGGCAATACACTCATACACATAAAATAAAAATAGTAAATAAATTTTTTTTAAAAAGTAGGTTTTCTTTTGGCCTTAGAGAACGTTATGGATGAAAAAAAATCACTAAAATGATGAAGGCTATGAACTGAGGAAGTACAGGAACCTCTGGAGTAGTGCTATCTAAAAGGTGGTTAAGAAGTACAGCTTTCACAAACTGAAAAAGTTCTAATTCTATTTCTACTTTACCAGTACCGTGATCTGGGACTAGCTAACTAGTAATAGTGGCAAATCACCTCTTAGAACTACTCTAAAGAACAAATGAGTTACCATATACACAGAGTCTAGGCACTGGGGTCAGCTGAAAGAGTAAGACTCTTTCAAAAGACTCTGACTTTCAGTAAGACTCTGACTCAAAAGTGTCCACTGGAGCCTAATGGCTACTAATCACTTCCACAACAAAGAAACAGAAGGAACAGACCAACTCAAATTTTCTTTCCATACTCTTACTAAAAACTACTTAATAAAACTCCTTTATTGTAGGCTGGAGAGACAGCTCAGCAGTTAAGAGCACTGGCTGCTCTGGCAGAGGCCTGAGTTTGAGTCTCAGCACCCATATGGCAGCTAACAACTGTCCACAACTCCAGTTCCTGGGTATCCAACGCCCTTTTCTGTCTGCCCCCCAGCACTGCATGACATGGGTGCACATACATATATGCAGGCAATACACCCATACACACAAAAAATAAAACTATAAATATTTAAGAAACTCATTTGCAAGTGATTTTTGCTGTTACAATGACAAGAATTTTAGAAGTATATAAAAATTACTTTCTGTCTAGTGTGAAAAATATTCTGATTACAAAATACAATTACTCCAGGTATGCATATTAAGAGTCCTTCTATCTCATTACCAAATCTAAGCATGTCAGCAAATGAGCACAAGACTAACATTGCTTCTCATGGGTCTGCAGGAGGGCAAAGCACATAGATCAGAAAGAACATCCTGCTAATTAAACCAAAGCAGATGACTAGGAAAGAGAAAGTCTTGTCACATGTAACATCTGTGCCAAGAATGATCAGATTAAATATGCAAAATGTAAAGGTGTAAAAAAGCAGTAAGATGATACTCTAGACCTTAAATAGTCTACAAAAGTTCTGACAGTTTTCCTAATTATTCCCAGTAATGGACATACAGGCCAAAAGGCAGGAGGGAGAAATACATTTTTCTTTATTATGAGTGCTGAACACTAGGTCTAAAATCATGCCTGTCTGAACACTGATCAGTTTCTACAAAGGTTAATAGCAATTAAATGCAGCAAACTAGATTAAATGAGAAACAGGTCATGATACCACTGTACTTGCAAAGAGCACGATAAACCATTTCCTTTAAATTTATCTTAATGCACAGGAAATCCAAAAGAGTTTCCGTGAAAAGAGACTATTTTCAAAAAAACAAACAAACAAAAAGCCATTCTGAGGAATGTATTAAATGGTTAAAAAGTGACTCTTAAAAATAGTATTTTTTAAAAAGTGACTAACTCAATTATTGTTATTATGTTGCTGCCAGAGTAAGAACTATTACATAAATACTAAGGACGTCTAAAAGGAAATTTCCTTAAAAAAGAAAAAAAATACTACATGGGAAAAATAACAAAGGTTATGTAAAATTTACAGTATGATATAAATATTACACTAAAGACAACAGTTTTATACTTTGGTATGCATCGTAACACATTGTTTCTTCTTTTATTAATACAGAGCATGAGGTTACCTGGGAAGTGATAATTAGAATTAAACTAAATACAACCTCCTGAGCTCATTCTCTTAACTAAATCTTTACTTTAGTATATAAATCCTAACATGTAAGCCTGAAAAAATATTATTTGGGTTTACAAATTTAAACATATGCTTCTCAAGAAATCAAGAGGATAAACCATGAGCAAATACAAAGTCTCCAGTCTTTTCATATACACATCCTTTACTCTCTACCTAAGCCAGAAAGCACAAGAGGCAGGTTCAGACAATTAAAATTCAATTTACTTTGCTGTCCTCAGGGTCTTCTAAACCATCAGGCCGACTAAGGTTTCGAGCAGGCTGGCTGCAGACAACATTGTCTTCCCAAGAGGATGCTTCTCAAGAAATCAAGAGGATAAACCATGAGCAAATACAAAGTCTCCAGTCTTTTCATATACACATCCTTTACTCTCTACCTAAGCCAGAAAGCACAAGAGGCAGGTTCAGACAATTAAAATTCAATTTACTTTGCTGTCCTCAGGGTCTTCTAAACCATCAGGCCGACTAAGGTTTCGAGCAGGCTGGCTGCAGACAACATTGTCTTCCCAAGAGGGGACTCGCACAGGTGGCCTTTGGATTTCATCTGGATAAAAAGCACCATCTGCTCCATCTGTAATAAGAATTTTGAAAAGAAAGCTTTAGAAAAAAAAAAAATGGGAGAAGACGAAATCAGTTATGAAAATTATCACCTCTGCATGTAAATATGATGAACAGGAGCTGGCAGCATGGCTCGGTGGTAAAGTGCTCTCCAGGAGCACTAAAGGCCCTACAATCCCCAGCACTGCAGAGAGGGAAGGAAACAGAGGGCCATATGGACACAGTGGCACATGCCTCTAGTCCCAATATTTGGGAGGCTAAGGCAAAACAATCGAGGGTACAATGACAACCTGGGCTACAAAGCAAGGCCTTATCTTTTAGGTTTTTATTTTGTTTTAATTAACTTATTTATTTATTTATTTATTTATTTATTTATTATTTATTTGATCTTTTTGAGACATGGTCTCCCTGTAGACCCTGTTGGCCTGGAACTTGCTGTGTAGATCAGGTTGGCCTTGAACTCTCATAGAGATCCGCCTGCCTCTGTTGGGATTTTTTTAAAAGCCTGTTCCACCACTTCCAGCTCTTTGTTATTTGACATTTTTAATTTATGTGTATGAGTGTATTGCCTGCATGTAAGTAGGAGCAGTCGTCATGCAGAAGAGAACATCAGATCCCCCAGAACTAGAGTTTCAGATCACTGTTAGCCACCATGTAGGTGCTTTTAACTGTTGAGCCACCTCTCCAACCCCAGTTTTTTATTTCTAACCCACAATTCTAGAAACAGTTTATAGTAAGCAAACAAGACTAGGCATTCATGGAATACCACTCCTAAATGATGTCCATAGCAGTACTAAACAATAATGTGACAAATTCTACAAATGTCAAACAAATCTTAGATTCAGCTAACCCCAAGCCAAACTACTTTAATAACCTCTTGTTTCCTGTGCTGCATAAGGGTTGCCATACTGCAGAACTGGCTGTGCATTTGGCAGTGTTGGGACAAGTCCATTTGGCTCTGAGCATGTGTTGAGACATCGTGAGACCTGCTGGGGGGTCTGACCATCCATCTTCCTTCCTTTTGGATTTTCTAAACTTTTAAGTTCCTAAAATTATAAAACAAAGACAAATAAGAAATCAAAGATTCTATAAGGGTGGCATTAAACATTTATCCAAAATAAAACAAGTTTAGGTATACAGTTGGAGAGGCTGGCTGCCTTTTCCCCTTCTCTCAAAGCGCCTTTCACATTAAAAAAAAAAAAATCAGAAGTCAGGGTAAAGCCCAATGTACATTCAAATTTACTTGTACCAAAAAGTACTCATTATTCAACTAATTTAGGGAAAACTATGAACCTCTTACTACAACAAAATTTTAGTATAAAAAAGAAATCAAACACTTAAAATTTATCATTTTTTAATACTTTATTATTTTTATTTTATGGGTATGAGTATATTGTCTGCCATGTGTGTAAGTGCAATGCCCACAGAAGTCAGAAGAGGGCACCCGATTCCCTGGAACTGGAGTTATGGATGGTTGTTAGCCATCATGTGGGTGCTAGGCATCGAATCCTGGTCCTCTGCAAGAGGAGTCAGTGCTCTAAACCACTGAGCCATCTCTCCAACCCCAAATTAAAATTTATTTTAAGTATTTTTATTGATATTTGTATTTTATATGTATGAGTGTTTTGCCTGTATGTACATGTGCATGTAGCACCCATGGAGGCCAGTAAAGGTCATCAGATTCCCCTGGAAATGGAGTTACCAGTAGTTATTAGCTGCCATGTGGGTGGGGGAGCCAAACCTGAGTCCTCCATAAAAGCAGCAAATGCTCTTAACCACTGAGCCATCTTTCCAGCCCCCTTAAAATTTATTTTAAAGGCTGGACACGGTGACACATGCCATTAATCCTAGCCCAGCCTGTTATTTTAGCCTTGGAAGGTAGAGCTAGGTAGAGACAGGGGACCCCTAGACAGAGTAAGCTGGATAGGGAGATTTGCCATATACACTCTACAGCTCTGGACAATCCAGGATGATTCCCAAAATCAATCTTGGGCCTCCATATGCACGTATCACGTGCATGTGCACACTAACACACATGCTTGCACACATGCAAACATACATACACAATTACTCAAAGACATTACAAAACTATAGACCTATGCATTTGTAAAGACTGATACAAAAAGCAAATCAAATCCAACACTATTAAAAAAAAAATCATGACCTAACGAGTTTTACGAGATTATGAAGTTAAATATCTAAAAAGAAAAAATTAACATAATTCTTGTTAGCAGAAAGGAAAAAAACATATAAACTCGCTCTGTGTAGAACATTTTATAAGACGCTACAAACTACAAAATTCATTTCAGGTTTTTTAAATCTCAGCAACCTAGAATAAAAAATAACTTCCTTAACTTGAAAACATGACTCAAAATCTATAAAACTATAAGATAAAAAACTAAAATGATTCTACTGAAGATAAATATAAGTAAGGATTCTGCCCTATTTCTGTTATATATAAAACCAGTGAATTAAGACAAGGTTAAGATTAGGGCAGACAGATTAAAAAGTAAGACCGTCATTAATCAAATAATTATACATATAAAAAGAGCCTATGGCTGAGAAGCTAGGAGAATAAGTGAATTTAAGCAAGGTTGGAAGACACAAAGTCAATAGGCAAATCAACTGTATTCATATACATGGGCAACACACAACTGGAAAATGAAATTTTTAATAATTCTATTTAGAGTAGAATCAGTAAGAGAAAATGCCCAGGAAGTAAACCTAACAAAATATGTACAAAACCTACACACTAAAAACAATACCACAATACGGAGTACAATTAAAAACAGTATAAACAAGCCAGATGCAGTGATGCATGCCTTTGATCCCAGCACTTGGGAGGTAGAGGCATGCAGATCTCTTTGAGTTCAAGGCCAGCCTGATCTACATAGTGAGTTCCAGGCCAGCTGGGACTACAGAGAGACCCTGTCTCAAAACAACAAACAAAAACAACAGCAACAAAAAACAGCACAGACAAATGGAGAGATACATACCAAGTTCACAGACAGAAGACATTTTTATGGTACTACCTCCCCTTTAACTACAGATCTAATGAAATTCTAATCAAAATCCCAGGAGGCTTCTGAATTAACAAGATTATTCTGAAATGGAAACACAAATGTCCTTAACAGCCAATATTTAAAAACAATATCCCAGGGCTGAAGAGATGGCTCAGTGGTTAAGAACACTGGCTGTTCTTGCAAAAGACCTGGGTTCAAATCCCAGCACCCAAATGGCAGCTAACAACTGTCCATAACTTGAGTCCCAGGGGATCGACAGCCTCTTCTGACCTCTACGGGCATTGCATGGCACGGGTGCACTTACCTACATGCAGGCAATACACGTATACACATAAAATAAAAATAAAATTTTTTTACAAAGCTTAAAAAAAAAAAAAACCCCACAATATCCCAGCATTAGGGAGGTAGGGGAGCAGAATCCCAAGTTCAAAGCTAGTGTGAGACACAAAGCGAATTCAAGGCACTTTTACTATACAGTAAAAACTCCTGTCTCATTAAAAGCTGAGAACATAGTTCAGTGGTAGAGTAGACCTGCCTAGAACGCAGAAGGCTCTGGGCTTGACTCCTCACACATCATGAAAAAAAAAGGTCAAAAAATACATTAAAAATATAAAACACCAAGGGGTGTGGTGCAAACCTATAATAATCTCAGGGTAAGCCAAGAGAGTTTCAAGTTGGCTTCAAGTGAGACACTGCCTTTTAAAAAAGAAAAGAAAAAAGGCAGGTGCTGAGACACAGCTCAGTGCTAGAGTGCTTCCCTAGTATGCCTAAGGACCTAGGTTCAAGTCCCAGTAAAACAAACACACATGCACACGCTTAATGTTAAAGAATATTTTTTAAATAGTTCTAATTTTTCTGGCAATATTTAATAAATAAGAAAGATACAGACAGTATTGAAAGGGGTTGTAACTTAATAGGAAAAAAATGTTCATTAAAAATGATACTGATCAGCAGTAAGAACAAATGAACTTTTGAAATTTGCAGGTAAATGGATGGAACTGGAGACTGTTATACTAAGTGAAGTAACACAAACTCAGAAAAGCAAGTGATGTATGTTATCCCTCATTTTCGGATCGTAGTACCAATCCCTTATATGTGAATATATATCCTGATATAACACCAGGAGCCAGGAAAATGGGAAGGAAACACGGAGGTAAAGAGAAAGAAAAAGCCTGAAAGGGGGATAGTAGGGAACAGACTTTTTTTATTTGGGTGGGGGGTGGGAAAGTGAGAGTGTTCAGCTGGGAGGGTACTAAGGAGGGACATACAGGAGTCTGTGGTGGTGGAGGAGAGGGGGAACTCAGGAGAGATGGGGTGGTGGGAGACTGGGGAGGTTGAATGGGGGGGAGAGGGTAGAGATGAATGGATTTTAGGGGGACTAGGGAAGCCAGAAGACAATCTGTTGGCTCCAGGACCCCCTGAAAAATGCACATACATTAGTGTTTGTTTTCTGCACATACATTAGTAATGTTTTCCGAACATTAGTGCATGTGTACACCCAGGGGCTGTGTGGCAAGGAGCACAGTTCCAAATAGGAGAGACCTCCCTTCAAAGGTTGGTCAGAGTGGTCCAAGAGACTTGCAAAATAACAAGCTACTGCCGGAGCTCTTGGTTATCTCCCAGAAATGGAAAATAAGTCCCTACTGCTAAAGACAGACTTCAGACACAGGTCTTGAAGCAATGGAGCAGGAAGAAACCTGGACGCCTTCTACCTGAAGTTTAGCTTTCATAGGTCTAGAGGATTCTATGCAAGTTGCTAAGGTAGAAAAGTCAATCAATAGTCCAACTCAGCCCTAAAGCCTAATAACCATAATGACTGGCATAGCGAAGTACCTCCTCTATTGGTGCAGTAGTGGCACTGTTTTGGGGGGAGGTAATCAACAGCTACTAATTGAACTTAGCCCTCTCAATGGGAGTGAATTCATGGGTAGCACTGTAAACACAGTCAAATATACATGGCTAGAAATAGATTCTATAGAAAACCCTACCTCTGACATATCTCTAGACAAATGAAATTTCTTTGGGAGACATATATATATATATATATATATATAATTTTTACAGACAAGTATACTGTACACCACTCATCAAAGCAGCTTCTTTTTGGAACAGATGGAGGCTACTACACTTCTACAACTGGTCAGACACAGAGAATATACGTCTGAGAGATGCCCAGTCCTAAGTAATATATCTACAGTGGAACCTCTACACCTAAGGCTCATGGAACACAAAGGAATAGGCGGTGGAAAGAAAACTGGTGCGTCCCCTCAATTCTCACCAGTGAAGCTTCCTTATACAACACAGTGTGATGCAAACAGAAGGCAACAGATCAAGTATTAGAGAATAGGAGACTACAGAGTATGCGTCTTGGGTAGGACTCCTATATTAAATCTCACCCACCCGTGACTTAGGTACCATTACTGAAGAAGGGGAGAAAAGATTTTAAGAGCCAGGGTTGGTCCATGAATAGGGAAACAGAGGCTTTCAGGCTACTGGAAGCTTGCTCATGTGAACTTGCAGCAATAGTGGCATCAAGCACAAGATCCATGCCAACTCAATCAGACAAGGGCTCAGGATGGAGCAAGGGAAATGGGTGGCAGGCCAGCCCTAGCCTGGGAGCTGTTTGAGACTAGTTACTACTGGATAAGGGAGAGTAAAACCTTACTTAGGATCTTTAGATAGGCCGACTAGACTCCAGTGGATGAATGTGCACCAAGGGGCATCTGGATACAAATGCTTGACTGGGTGGGACTTAACATGATTGATGGAATGCATGAGGTCCAGCAGGGCGGGTGGGGGTAGGGCATGGATGGGGGGGCTCTAAATTTGATTAAGAACTGTTATATGAAACATACAAATGCTCAATAAAAATTTTTTTTTTAAATGATACTGAGTAAGGACCTAAAAATAGTAAGAGGGCAAGCTGTGAGTACCTGGGATGCCAAAAGTCATCAAAGACACAAAATCAGTACAAGAACTATGAGTGGGTAGGTGGGTGGGTGAGTGAGTGTGTCTGTGTGTGTATGTGTGTGACCCAAACCTGCATTCAGGCCTCAAGCAGTCAGGTAACTAGGTCAAGCCGTTTCTTCTTCTACAAGATTTTTTTTTTAATTTAAATGCTTATAAGGTATAATTCTAGCACTTGGGAAGAAGGAATGAAGATAGCTAGAAGCCAGTATGGCCTATGTAAGGAGATGCCATCTCAACCTCCCACCCTACTCCCCTAGAAAGAAAATCATTATGAGAATCAAATTTCTTAGGAATTCACTTATTCCACCCTAGTGACTCAAAGCTGTAACAATCCAATGAAGCAATCATCTACAAAATAGTACATGAAATCTAAATATAAGTCTTAGCAAAATTACAAATTATCTTTTAAAAAGAGGTATGGGGCTACAGAGATGTCTCAGTGATTAAGAGCACTGGCTGCTCTTGTAGAGGACCTGGGTTCAATTCCCAGCACCCACATGGTGGCTAACTACCATCTGTAACTCCCGTTCCAGGGGATTCAACACCTTCTTCTGACTGCTGTGAGCACATGCAGGCAAAACACTCATACACATAAATTAAAAAAAAAAAAAAATCTTTTAAAAGGAGAGGTGTGGCCGGATGTGGTGGAGCACCTCTTTAATTCCAGCACTCGGGAGGCAGAGGCAGGGGGATCTCTGAGTCTACAGAGTGAGGTCAAGGTCAGCTGGGGTGATCGGGAAACCCTGCCTGGGCGGGGGGGGGGGGGGGGGGGGGGGATGTTAGGAGGCAGGAGGATCACCAGAGTTTGAGGACAACTTGGACTACAGAGTGAGTTCAAAGTCAGCCTTGGTTACTTAGTGAAACTCTGTTTCAAAAAAAGCCTAAGGGTGACAACACTAGCAAATGAACTATAATCATTTGCTAACTTTCTAGACAAACTGTAGATCTGCGGCTCAGAGATGAATAATGAGGCTCTGACGCAGGTATCTCGAAGCATGGGGTAGGTTTCAGAATTCTTAGAAATACATTTGGGGAACAGACAAGGATTAAGTTGTTTGAAACAACAGCAGAAATACCTCAAAAGAAAAAAAAAGTAGACAGCAATTGGCCCTCGTGGCATTCCTGATAAGGTAGGGAATTTTAACTGACAATAAAACTGTGGCTCTTAGAATATTTCTTACACCAATGTTTTTATAAGGCAAAAATACCATACATTAAAACTGATCCATTAGTTTATTCATTCAACAACTACTAGACTTTAATACCAGGCAATGAATCTGGAACTGCAAATACAATGATGACTAAAACAGACATAGTCTATATTCTTCATGGACCTTAAAATTAAGTAGAAGACAGACACTTAACAAATAAGCAAAATACATAAAAATATATTTGCATAATTGATAAGCTTATAAAAATCTTGCAATGACAGAAATTAATATCACCAAACCCAACATCTTTTAGATATCTGGCTTATCAAGAACCAGCTAGACGCCTGCAATTAATCAAATTCTGATACCATATAAACATGAACTTAAGAATGACAATAAATCGGGGCTGAAGAGATGGCTCATGGGTTAAAAGCACTTGCTGCTCTTCTAGAGGGCCACGCTTAGGTTCCCAGCATCTCTGTCATCAGGCAGCTTACAACCTCCTGTAACTCCAGCTCCATGCCCTCTTCTCGCCTCTGAGGGCTCCTGTATACATGCAGCATTCACTCACAGACATACATACGTAATCTTTAAAAGCATGACAATTATAATCTGCTGACTAAAAGGAATTTAATGCTGCTGGCTGTCAGATAGGAGATACATGAGAGGTAGCACAGGTAGCTAAACAGACTATAGATAGCAGACAAAGGACATCTTTCGATGGTGACATAGAACTAAACCTTTGGAATTTCCAGCGTGACAACTTTAGACCATATCTAAATTTACATTAACAAATTGTCTTGTGGTAGGTTTTCAGGCAGTTTCAAGAGAAAAAGGGATGGTATGAGAAGAACCAATCATAAAGTGATTAAAAAGTTGGTAATTACAGGTCATTTCCCACCTCCACATACTCTATCACCTCCTAGTAAGGTGGCTGAAGACTGAGTTAAGTCTTTTGGTCAATGACAATTTACTCAATCATACCTATATAAAGACACCTCAGAGAAAACTGGAAGAGGAAGCTTGAAGAAATTCCTGGTTGGTGAACATATCTATCAATGTTCTAGAAGGACAATATAACCTGAAAAGAACATGGGGGCAGTTTTACACCATCAGTTTGTCCTATGTATCTCTTCCATCTCTATGTTTCCAAAGTATATCTTTTATGATTTAAAAAAAAAAAACATCATAAAATTATTATTGTTGGGGCTGGAGAGATGGCTCAGCGGTTAAGAACATTGACTGTTCTTGCAGAAGACCTGGATTCAAATCCCAGCACCCACAAGACAGCTAACAACTGTCTGTAACTCCAGTTCCAGGGGATCCGACAGCCTCTTCTGTCCTCTGCGGGCATTGTATGTCATGGGTGCACTTACCTACATGCAGGCATAACACTCATACACATAAAATAAAAATAATAAATAAAATATTTAATTGTTATTGTTTTCCTGGATATCTTAGTAGGTAAAAGCACTTGCCCTCCTTGCAGAGGACCTGGGTTCAATTCTCAGCACCCACATGGCAGCTCACAACTACCTGTAACTCCAATTCCAGAGTATATGACACCTTCTTCTGGCTTCTATGGGAACCAAGCATGGCTAGCCTAATGACTCCACTAATAGCTGCCATCTGAAGGAGAAGCAATTGTATGCAGCTGAGCCTTAACCTGTAAGAGGTGGGCAATGCTATATATTACAACTGGTTGTAGGATAACAGTGGATAGGAAAACTGCTGCATCACACATACATAAAGACAAGAAAGGGTCCTTCCTTATAGTAGAATGAGAATGGCCAACTGAGTGATAAAGTTGAAAAATCTAAATTTTGGTAACACAGCATCCAACATGGAGGTACCAATGGAGAACTACTAGTGCAGTCAGGAAAGGTTTTTTTTTTTTTTTTCAAAGAGAAAATGGACAAAAGAAACCAAAGAACAAAGTTTACAGACCACTCATAATTTTTTATTAAAGTACATTTCTCAATACCTTCTCTCTGGAGATGTTTTCCAAATGTGAAGCTAGACCATTTATTTCTTTGTCTTTCTCTGCCAATTGTAGCTGAATGAAGAAAGAAATATCATTAATATTTTCATTATCTGTTTTGTTCTTACACACTGAAATCCAGTTAGTACTAGTCTATCAAAATAATTCCTATCACCAAATTCAGATTAATTTCCTCAGTTCTTAGACTCTGAATTACTTGTCGTTAATGACCAACTTCTTTTCTTTTTTTCTATTTTTGAATTTATGTAGCCCTGGCTAGTATAGAATTCTCAGTCATCCTGCCTCAGTCTCCTGAGTGCTGAGACCAATGATATGCCAACACACCTAGATTCCCCCTCTTTTGTAAATTAGCATATTGCTTATGCAGAATGGGCTTCATTATGGCATTAAACATACATTTAATCACATTCACATCCCATCACCCTATCCTGCTCCTCTTACAGTCCTGCTGACCTCCTTCCTCTTCTTACCTCATCCTTCTTCTACTTTCATGTCTTTACTTATTTACTAATGACCCAATGAGTTTCATTATGCTTACTCACAGGATCCAGCAGGATTAAGGGCTTCTTACTAGTGGTTATACCACTTAAGAAAATCTCTCTCCCTTCCCCAGCAATTATTAAGTCCCAAAATACTCAGGGAGTAGTGGGGCCTTATGAGCTACAATTATCTACCTAAGGTCCTGGTCAAGGACCCTTTTATCCCCCCATGATAGAACACTGGCAAGCCAGTAATCTCAAGTGTTGTGAGATCAAGAGTGATGTCCAAGGACAGCATTCTACCTCTTTCCTCACCTTCCTCTAGCTTTTACATTCTTTCTGATGATCCCATCTTCCATGATGTTCCCTGAACACTGGAAACAGCTTCCCTTATTCTTAAAAAAGTATTCCTTTGGCTTATGTGAAAAAACATCAATATTATTATCCTAATGCCCCTTCTTTAGTATCTACTTTTTCTTCCCAACCACAAATATGGATAGGCTATAAAGCTTTGTTCTTTGTTTTCCTTTGCCCATCTTCTCTCTCAAAACTTTCTTCCATGCTTTGAACTATCAACTCCATGATAATAAACCATAAATATTAATTCATGCAACTTCTCAGTCCCAAGTTCCAAATCTGCAAATTGTTCTTTTGAGTCAATCTCACACTCTAGCCAAAGCTGGCCTTGAATTCGGAGACTTAATTCAGGCTGGCCTTGAATGTTCTACAATCTCCTGCCTCAAACTCCCAAATACTAAGATTATAGGGATAAGCCACCATGCCTGGTGAAATATGCATTTTTAGCTGATGTCAAAATATGTTTTCATTGCTGTCTTTCCTGTATTATAGGGACAAAGTGACCCAAGCTTGCTTACTTACATTAGTTAACAGATACCCTCAAAATCAGCAATGTGACAGACGCTAACAGCTCTGACTACTTCCTCCTTCTCCTCCTCCACTTCTCAACACTTTCAGTCTCTATGGCATTCATTTATTCATTCATTCATTCATTCATTCATTCAACAACTGCCTGCCCACTGATTGCCTATAAGAGCATAAGCATTGATGGGTACAAATATTCAACAGTTCTTTCTCAAAATATTTCAGATCTTTCTTTTCTAGACTCGTGTTCTAGTCCATGGTAGGAGATCAAAAAGGTATCCAAAAGAATGTGAACTTTATCAATTCATTCTAAGAATTTCTATGTCCTCACCTGCAAACCCTTACTACCTATAAAGCTTCCATAAGGCAAATAACTTTCTAAAGGCTTCACTTCCATTGGGTCCCTTTCCTCCTAGAAAATTCGTTTTGGTTTTTTGGGGGTTTTTTGTTTTGTTTTTTTGTTTTTGAGACAAGGTCTCCCTATAGCCCCAGCTAGCCTGGAACTCACTATATAGACCACGCTGGCCTTGAACTCACAAACATCTGCCTGCCTCTGACTGCTGAGATTAAAGGCATGCTCCACCACACCCAGCTCTTCCTAGAAAATCTAAACATAATCTAGGACCCAAATTCTATTTTAGGCTTTCTAGATAGAACCTGACTTCAAAGTATATTCATGTCTAATCTCCTCTTTCATAGATAGGATTTTCTACCATGGGACATGTTCATGTGTGAAAACACACAAAAAGTAAAAAAAAACTACGAGATAGTAAAATTAATCTACTTAGAACTGTCCAGTTTTCAATCACAAAAACACATAAATTACATATAGGTATCTTAAAATACACCACATTGCATTTAGGCTAATATATTTTACTTACTAGTCAAGTAGCTTGCTACTTTTTTTTTTTAACATTCCTACAAATATCATTTATTATTTGGACTTAACTCTCTTATTTAACATTGCACTGGCAAAAATAAGCTTCATTAATTACTATTACATCACAGTATTTTATTTAGGATCACAGTAATATACCTGTGTGATAAAATCTAAAACTATTAATTTACTATATTACACTAAAAAAAAATTGAAGTCCCAAAATAATTTAACATGCAGATTTACAATACATGAACATAATGATAGCTTTTTAAAAAAAAGAAATGTATTTATTATTTTTATGTGTATGAGTGTATCGCCTGCATGTATGAGTGCACCCATGTCATACAATGCCACAGAGGTCAGAAGAGGGCTTCAGATTCCCCTGGAACTGGAGTTAAGGACCATTCATAGCCGCCATGTGGGTGCTGGGAATCAAACCTGGGTCCTCTGCAAGAGCAGTCAGTGCTCTTGACCACTGAGCCATCTCTTCAGTCCCAATGATAGCTTTTAAGATACAATTTTAGGGGTGGGCTAACTCCCTATGAGTTGTTGGCCAGGAAGGTCCCTAAGCCATTCCAACAAGTCACTGCTGATGACTGTCCATCAGAACTAGAAGGTAAGGCCTTAGTGCTGAAAACACCACATACTTTGGCTACAGGACTTAAGAGAAACCAAGCTGGAAGCTTCCTCTAGGCTGGATTGCTTTGACACTGCCAGAAGGTACTGTGCAGGCTGCTGGGGGACAATTATCATCAAATCTCACTCAGCTGTGGATCCTGTGTGCTATACTACCAACCTGCCAACAGAGGAATGACTGGGGGATAAGCAACAACCTCCTAATCAGATTTGAGGCCCACATTCCATAGGAGAGAACTCACATCTAACGTGCACCTGGTCAAAAGCCCATGACTAGGGAGAACAGAGGCCCTACTGGGGAAGCTATTACTGTTACACTGGTAAATGGATATGATTTACCTATCAGATTCCCTTCTAAATATTTATGCCCATATATTAGTGCTGCTATCAGCTTTGGTCAGAAAAGCTTCTTTTTGTAGAGGGCAGAAGTTGCTGTGCAGGTACACAAAAGTAGTCAAAATGCTGACAATAAGTGGCTGTTATCAGTTAGCCCTAATGGGATGACTATAAGCTCAGGGAACACAGCAAAAAGAACACATAAGAGTCAAAGGAAGGGGTGGAGTATTGTGACATTCTGTCTTCTGGGTGTGACACTGCTGCTGTTCCATTCTCAGCAGCTATGATTACCTGCGTAAGACCTACACAAACAAGACTAAGGCTGTCAACATTGCATCATGGAGGAGGAAGTGCTTCATGATATCCCACACTTCTCTGAGGACTTATAGGCAGTTAATAATCACTGGAGGGAGGGAAGGAGAAACATTTTCTTCAGCACTGTAGTTACTGGTAAGTTGCTTATACTCCTGTAAATAACCCATCACCAATGCTCCTGAAAGCAAACCTAATAAAACTCACTGAGTCACATGGCAGAGGGTGAGGGAATGTGAAAGAAAGGGAACTAGTTGGGAAGAAGACAACCAGCAGGAATAGGACAGGACAAGAGAGGGTAATGGGGGAGAATAGTATAAAAAATACATTGTATAGGTATAGGAAAGATACTGAAGCCTATTATGCATAATTAAATGCTAATAAAAAGGGGATTTTTTTTTTTTTTTTTTTGGTCTTTTTGAGACAAGGTCTCCTTGTAGCCCCAGCTGAGCTGGAACTTACTGCGTAGACTAGGCTGGCCTTGAACTCGCAGAGATCCACCTACCTCTGCCTCCCAAGTGCTAGGGTTAAAGGCGTGCACTACCATGCCTGGCTAATAAAAAGTTTTAAAAGATAATTTTAATACCTGTCTGAATCCAAAGAACTAAAGCCAAAATAACCAATGCATAGGGGTATCAGTTCATAATGAATAAACTGTGTTTATTAATAAACTAAATATAATTTTATCCATAGAAGAAAATACTACCTAGTTTATATTTAAAATGTATCCTGTTTATCTAAGCTATTGGTAATACATTTTCAAAAGCATGTTAGGAGTGCTAAACTTACTTTGTAATTGTCCTCTACTTCAGCTAGTTCAAGTTTTATATTTTCAGCAATTTTCACTTGTTCTTTCCATTTCAGCTCCATTTTTGCAAGTTCATCAGCATATTTATTACATTTGGTTTTCTCATCCTAAATAAAATCAATATAATTACCAAAAGATTTTACATCCTCATAAGGCAAATATCTATACCAACATAACTAAATGTTTGATAATTATTGTAACATTGCTCTAACAATATAAAGACTGAAATGATGAAATGTCAACAGAAGGTTGAATAATTCAATCCCTTCCTGTATCACAAAGAAATAAACACATGCGCGTGCACTTGCGCATGTACACACAAAAACTCAAAAACCACACAAATACAAAACACTTTGCTCTCTACTCTAAATTAGATACAATCATTTTCCCTTATACTTTAAGTACTACAAAAGTGAATATTACCAGAAAGATTGTAAAATGGGAGAAATCCAAACTATGCTATTTAAAATAAATAACCCTAGGAAAGACAGCTCATTTGGTTAACATTCCTTTTTTTCCACTGGCCAAATACAGTAGCTTAGTATGTAGTAAAAGATAGTGGCTGGGGGAGATGGCTTAATGGGTAAAGCACTTGCTGCACAAGCATGAAGACCTGAATTCAGAACCCCAGCAGTGATACAAAACCCAGGCATGGCAGTATATGCCTATAACCCCAGCAGTGGGGGAACAAAGACAGGTAGATACCAGGGGCTTGCTCGTCAGCCAGTATAGCCAAAACTACAATACCCAGATTCAAGTGAAAGATCCTTTCTCAAAAAGTGAAGGGGAAAAACAAGGGACTCTAGATAGGCTGACTAGACTCAGCAGATGGACTTGCACTGGGGAACAGCTCAGGGCACTGACAACACAGTGGGCACTAACAGGGATGACAAAGTATATGGGCTCCACTGGGGGTGAGGTGGCTATGGGAGGGTGCCAGTGGGGACAGGGGTACAAAGATGATTAAGATTGTTTGAGATGGGGGCTGGAGAGATGGCTCAGAGGTTAAGAACACTGACTGTTCTTGCAGAATACCCGGGTTCGAATCCCAGCACCCACATGGCAGCTAACAACTAACTATCCATAATTCCAGTTCCAGGGGATCCGACGGCCTCTTCTGTCCTCCTTGGGCACTGCATGACATGGGTGCACTTACCTACATGCAGGCAATATACCCATACAGTAAAATAAAAATAATAAAATATTTTTTTAAAAAAAGATTGAGATGTTCTGTATGAAATAAACACATATACACATACACACACACACACACACACACACACACACACACACATATCAATTTAAAAAAAAGTGAAGTGGAGAAAAGACTAAGGAAGACATCTTGGTGTCAATCTGTGGCTTCCACATATCCAATTGCATACCTTAGCATGCACACACACAAAGATATAATAAAATTCTCTACCTTATTTACAATACATTTAAAAAAATGACTTCCTTATAAAGTTCAAAATTTTTCCATGTATCCTTGTACAACAAATAAAAAAAAATTTGTGTCAGTTCAAATAAATACATTTTATCATGTATATAGAAAATACTGACATTTGAATGATTTTAGAAAAGAATCCTAGGATATAAATTGACAAAAACAACTAGGGTAAGCCAAGACATTTAACATCTGTTAACTTTCATTCAGTAAGGACTTAACTCACCTGCAAGAGTTGTTTACATTTATTATACTTTTCTGTTTTGTCAGCAATTTCTTTGGTCATTTCACAGAATTGATCCTTTGAGAACATGTCAAAATCTGTTTCTGTTGGAACAAAGCAGAAAACAATATTGTTTCAAAGTTTTTGTCCTTACATTATCTTCCTGTTAGAAAAACTTGGGAGAGTTAGTATATTGTGAATATTGCCAAACCTATATTCCCAGCTACTCAGAAAGCTAAGACAGAATAAATCAAAACTTTAAGGGCTACAGAAAGTTCAAGGCCAGTCTAGGAATCTTAGTGAGATCATGTCTCAAAATAAAAAGTAAAAAAAAACAAGGAAAGGGGTGGTATGGGAATCCAGATCAGTGAGAGAATATGTCCAACATACATGAGGCCCTAGGTTCTATCTCACAAAAAATAAACAAAGATACATAAATTCATTGTAAGATCGTTTTTACTTCTCTTTCAGATGGGGTTTTCTTATATAGGCAAGGATGGCCTTAACTCACAATTGTGGTGCTTCCACCTCAAATGTATGGTTATAGGCATATACCAACACACCTCAGCTCTGTGAGAATTTTTAAATATCAGTTTCGACCAGAACCAAATTAACATTCAATAAGTAAAGAATCATTCATTTTTTAAAAATAATTCACTAGAAGTATTTCTAAACTGATACCAAAACTGTTCTCACTTTAACTAGGTAAGTAGTTAGAAAGCCACCCTCCTGAGAATGCAGTTCAAAGCATTCTTCCAGTCTTTTGTCACAGTTCTGTCCTGGTTTGATCTCTGCTGCTGTGATAAAGCTTGGGAAGGAAAGGGTTTATTACATCTTACAGGTTACAGTCCACCACGAAGGAAAGCCAGGGCAAGCTCAAGCAGGAACCTGGAGGCAGAAACCAAAGCAGTAACAATGGAGGAACAATGCTTAGTGTGGCTTGCTCAGCTACCTTTCTTGTATACTTAGGCCCACCTGCCTAGGGGTGACACCAGTGACAATATGCTCAGCCCTCCTCCATCAGTTAGCAATCAAAAAATACCTAAGACATAACCACAAGTCAGTCTGATGGAGGTAATTTCTCAGCTGATGTTTCCACATGTCAGGCTGACAACTGAAGCTAACTATGAAACCTTCATTAAAGTTTTAGTAAGTGATACATATCATTCCGGGTACTATAGGTTGAGCATCATTATCCCAAAAGCTGAAATTCAAATAACACTAAAATATGCAATGTTTCAAAATTTGAAGCTTTTTGAACATCAATATGATACTAGGGAGTTTCTGATTTCAAGGTATTTATGAATTTTGATGTTCAGATTTGAAAAGATGAACTCTGTCTAAGCCAATATACCAATGTGTAAAAATCTCTGAAATCTGAAAGCATGTCTTTTTCTAAGCATTTCAATAAAAGAATATTCAACCTGAATAGAGGACAAAAAAAATGGAATGGCACAGATTGTCCTATGGGGTGGTTTCTGATTTTTTTTTAAAGATTTATTTATTTAGGGGCTGAAGAGATGGCTCAGCAGTTAAAAGCACGGGCTTCTCTTGCAGAGGACACGGGTTCCATTTCCAGCACCCATATGGCAGCTAACAACCAACAGTAACTCCAGTTCCAGGGATTCAATGGCCTCTTCTTGACCTCCCCAGGCATTGCACAATATGGGTGCACTTACATACATGCAGGCAATACACTTATACACATAAAATTATTTTTTTAACCAAAAAAAGATTTATTTAGCATTTTTATGTGTATGTGTGTGTGCCTATATGACTTTAAGTGCACCACAAATGTGTGCAGGAGCCCAAGGAAGGGAGAGGAAGGCACAGGATCCCCCAAAGCTGGAGTTATAGGAGGTTTTGAGCAGCATGTGGGTAAAGGGAACAGAACCCAGGTCCTCTACAAGAGCAGTAAGTACGCTTAACCACTAAGTCATCTCTTCAGCCCCAAAAATCTGTATTTTAAAATAATAAAGCAGAGGCTGAAGAGACAGCTCAGCAGTTAAGAACACTGGCTGTTCTTGCAAAAGACCCCGGTTTGAATCCCAGCACCCACATGGCAGCTATCAACTGTCCATAACTCCAGTTCTAGGGGATCCAACACCCTCTTCTGTCCTCCATGGGCATTGCACTACATAGGTATACTTACATACATGCAGGCAATACACATACACATACACATAAAATAATTTTAAAAAGAAAGAAAAGAAAAAGACTAAAGTAGTCAGACATGGTAGCATACACCTTTAATTCCAGCCTCAGAGGCAGAGGTGAGGGTATCTCTGTGAGATCTAGGCCAGGCTGGTCTACATAGTGAGTTCCAGGCCAACTATGGCTAAAGGGAGATCCTGTCTCAAAAAGACCAAAAAGTAAGTAAAACTATACTAAATAAGGAAATATACTTTGGCTGTTATTTTCCTTGACAGATATATGATTTACATAAAAGTGAAAATCTACAGTTAATTCAAATTATTGCATTAATCATGTGGTATATCTGAATCTGTTCTATAATAGACTAGCAAATATTTAACCCATCAGTCAGCCAATGCATACACTAATTAAAAATGTACCCTAATGATATAAACTAAGAGGGAAGAGAAGGTACTTGAGAAAGAATAAGGATATTTTCAAATGTTATAAAAAGTTAAAAATAAAATGTTACAAGATCATCATGGTAAAGAACTATTCAAACAACAAAATAAATCTCCAGGTTAGATACAGTTATTATATCACAAAATCTTGATTTTTCAACTCTATCACTTCTTAAACATTAGTCCTCTGTCATTCTATATTTTGGGTAAAAGAAATTCTTCCACTTCATTAAACAGAGGACTTTGTTCCATACGGCTCAAATTAGTTCTCCTAGCACCAATTCATTTCTTTAACACATAACTCAAGTATTAATGTACACTCACTTTGTATATTCACATGTATAACTTTATCTTACATTAGCACCCTTATTTCCCCCTTTGCCTCAATCCTCTCCTAAGAATTTATGCAAGCACCCTGAAATCCTCACGCATGGAAGGCAGTAATAAATTAGCATATAAATACTTCTCAAGGATGGTCACTCTGCACAGAAAGATTAAAGAAGATTTTTACCTGCAGAAGACACTGGTGGCTTTGTATCCATGGTAGAAGCACAAGCAGCTGGGTCTGTGGTTATTGAAGCATCATTCACTTTCTGCTGATTCCCAATTCTTTTGGTGAAGACACTGTGAGTATTTGCCTATTTCCAAGTGTTAACAATAAATTTTAAATGAGTCATGTTTTTTTCCTTTTCTAAACATGCAAATAACCATAAAAGTACACAGTCCTAAAGTCCTGAAAGTTCACAAAGCTATTGTTGTTTTAAAAGCCAAAAGGAATAGTTACACACATCATTTTCCTAATTAATGTAAATGTTCCTTTTTCTCATGAAATCACCAAAACTGATCATTCATAGACATCTCACAAGTCAAAATGGGCTTAGGAAGCCACAAATCACAATCTATGCATAAAGGCTTTCTTTAGAAAGCCCTTCCTCCTTCATTATCATGCATGTGTTCCTTGCTCCCATGTGTATTTCAGAACCTAAATCAGTAACACTAGAAAAATATCTGTATATTATTAACTGGTACAACTCTCAATTCCAGATTTTAAATGTTTCGTTTATATTATATAATCATTTCCAGGATTGCCTCACAAATCTTGCATTTGAAGTACAATTTAGTGATTACATTAATACACAAAATCCTCCTTATGAAATTTCTTTCCTTCATTACTAATCGACCTATCTACTCCTAAATGAAATATAAAAGAATAAGCTAACACTTTTTATCTCTTCCTAATGTGGTAAAAATAAGTAGCATGGGAAGAATTCAGCAATGACAACTAAGAAAGTAATGACATCTAAGACCCCTAGGGCTGGAATGATGATGAACTGCAATGAAGGCATCTTTGTCACAAGTGAGATTTAATAATACGTATTGAGTTTTAAGTGACAAAGATACTAAGCAAGAACTTAAGAGGGTAATAGTCTAAAGAAAGAGTACTTGCTCCTGCTTTTTCTTACTGCTGCTCCTGCCTCCTTTAGTGGTTCTCGGAGAAATATGAATTTCAGATTTTAAGAAGAAAAAAAAAGGATTACCATTACAGTATTAGGTCAATGACCTAAAAGTAAGAAGTGATAAACTGTAGAATAGCTCAGCATGTATGTACAAGCCTAAGGACTTCCCGAGTCCAATCCTCTATCCCTGGGACCCACAATGTGGAGGAGAATCAACTCCGCCTGTACATTATCCTCTGAGCTACATACATACATACACATATATAAATATATAAAGAGAGGGGGGAAGGGAGGGAGGGGGAGGGGGAGGGACGGAATGACGGTAACAATATCATATCCTTCCGGAACCCCAGGGTGGGCAGCAACACGTGGTGGTCTGGTGGAGGTCGAAAGGTTGGGAGTTGGAGGCCTTCAACTCATTTTGTATTCCATTTCAGGCACTCTGCTCAAGAAGCATCCAGAGGTAATGGAGGCTGAGAAGCCGGGAAGGAGGGGAGGGGAGGTAAGAGGGGAGGGGAGGGGAGGGGAGGGGAGGGACAGGGACAGGGACAGGGACAGGGACAAGACAACACAAGAGAGATGACTCAGTGATTAAGAACCTGCAAAGAACTGGGTTCAGTTCCCCAGCATCCACATGGCAGCTAAAAACCATCTGTAACTGCAGTTCCAGGGGATCTAACATCCTCTTCTGGCCTCCAAAGGCACTGTATGCACATGGTGCACTTACACACAGGCAAAACACTCAAATACCAATTTAAATAAAAATTAAAAATAAATAAATGTAACAGAAGATTCAGTTTGTGTTTAGAAGAGATGAAGCAATAACCTGCATTCAAAGATTAATATTTGGAATAAAATAAATTTTAATTGAAAACAAAAAATTGATTAAGAAAAGTTTTGTTACATAGGAATTCAGTGACACTTACTGACTGGTCTGAAAGTTTGT